CCTTCCCTTGGTACATGCTTCCAGAGCACATGTCCTTTTCCTCCGGTTTGGCGACCTGGCGGTTCGGCTGGTATGTCCCCCTTCTTAATCATTATTTTTATTAGCAGCAATATTTCGATACTATATATATTTTAAAATACTAAAATACATATTATTATTATACAGTATATATTAAAAAATTTTAATAAACTTTTATTATATAGAGGTAATGATTTTGATCAACATCAATGGGATTTAGCAAAAATATATGAAAAATATAATGTATATAAATTATATTATTATAAATCTAAATTAGCTTGCTTGATAAATAATTTCAAAAGAAATCGTAAGTTTAATTTTTTAAATTTAAATAAGTTATATAATTTAGTTTAATAGTTTATATATTTATTTAGAAAAGCAAAAAAATAAAGGCAAAGAATCTGCCTCAAAGTTTATACTACAAAAAAAATATAAAAACCAAACATTAAATGAAAAAAATAAAGATTCTATATCAACTCTAACTATGGTTTCTATAGCTCAAGAACAAAACAATTTTATTGAATAGAAAAGCAAGAAACTTGAATTGTGGCAAAAAAGCTTAGAAGTTCTTAAAGAAGAAATTTCCTTATATAAAAAACTTAATAGTTTAAAAAAATTATAATAATCTCATTTAATAATAAAATGCCTTTTATTCTTAGTACTTTTTTTAAAAAAAAATTTGATGGTATAAATATGAAATACTATCAATAAAATATATTATATTTTGAAATAATATTTCTATTGCTATAATTTTATAAAGCAAATTTAATTGAACAAAGAATTTATATATCATATAACTTATAGCAAAATATTGTATCATTATTGTATCTTACAGTATATATTTAGAATGTATAGTAAAATAAAATATAGTACTATACTGTACAGTACAAGGTATGTAACTGTACTATATATAATTTCTATATACCATAATCAACCAGCCAATTCAGCAAATCCTGATGGTGACTGGATAGCCACTTTAAATGCTTTCAGAAACAACTTCTGCACCCAATGTTGAACCAACAAATGGCTGACTAACCTTGATAATTTGAAACAGTTGCCCAGAAAGTTGATTAAAACCTATTATAGTAGGTTCAGATTAGAGTGTCCAGATTTGTGCAAATTAAATCGCATTTTTATGCAATATTAAAAATTTTAGTAATGTGATATCAGTACAATATTAGGGGTCATTAGGGGTACAGATTAATTATGTATTTAATTTTTATGTAATATTGGTACAATACGTACGTATACGGTATTACCATATCATGAATTAATGCATAATTTTTTTTAAAAAAAAAATTTTTTAAAAAAAAAAACCTCCAAAAACAAAAAATTCTCCAAAAAAAAAAATCCTTTGAAGAAAAAATTCTTCGAACAAAAAAAAAAAATCAAAAATGAAAATATTAAATCGTACTATTGAAGTATAATAAATTTAACATTGCTAATGAATTTTCAGAAAGATTATGCCATTTATCACTTAAAATATTTTTGTAATTGCTAAAACTGCGTTCCACATCCACACCAGAAACAGGCAACCATATATATGACAATGCAATTTTTGAAAGGTGAGGTAATTCTCTTGATTTTTCTTTCCAATATTGATTTAAATCTAAATTATCATCTAATTCCTCTTCTAAACCACAATAAATATTCCAATTATTTAATAAATCATTATTAGGAGCTTCAAATTCTTTAATAATAAAATAAGATTCCATATTTTGTCATGTTATTGACCCACGAATAAATTTAGGATCAAAGCATCGAATAGCTTTAAAAAGTGGTAAGGCTGAATGGTTATCAACGTGCTTAGTCAATTTGTTAAAAGATACTTGAAATGCTTGGGAAAATATTGATTTAAAGTATGCATAGTTTAAATTGTTCTCATGAATTTTGGTTTGCATAAATGTGTTGAATGGTGGATTATTAATACCAGTTTGCAATCTTGCTCGAATTTGACTAATACGTGAAAATGCATATGGTGCAACAGGTTTGTTACAAATTTGAAAAAATTTTAAATCTTGAACTAAACTATAAAATATATAAATTATATTATTAATAAATTATATACTACATATAGTATATAACAAATATTAAATTATTTTACATACCATTGTGCATTTAAAATAATAAATTCGATCCAAATTTCAATTAATAAAATATTCTCATGATTCGCAAAAATTTTCGTCAATTCTTTTACTAATTTTGGAGGATCATTAAGCGTAATCTCCTTTTAAAAAATTGAACAAAATATGGAAAATAAGGTTTTAACCAAAAAATAAACTTAAACCAACTATTCCAGCATGTTTTAATAAATAAAGGAGGCAATTGCGGATTAATTTGTTCATCTAAAATTTCTAAAAAATCGGGTTCTAAATTTAAAGAGACAGTAATATTTTCAGAAAGAAATTGTAACCATCTTCTTTTACGAATAGAAGTATGTGAAAATGCATCCTTAATATATGATGCTACCTGCGCCAAAAGTTTAAAATCATCAAAGTAAATCCAACAATCTCCTACTAAACTTAAAATATGCGCGAAACAACAGTTATGTTTAAGATGAGGTATTATATGAATTAAAGTATCATTATATGCTTTTTTCATATAAGAAGCGTTATCGCTAATAAAAAGAATTATATTTTGATATGAAACATTATAAAAACTTATTGTGGATATAATTAACTGAGAGATTGTAGAATGATTGACGGCATCCAAATAATCAGTTTTTACCAATTTTGTTTGGTTTTGATAACTGAATAAAATATTAACAACGCTACGTCCACATGTGTCAGTAGTTTCATCAATTGTAATTGAAATATACTGATTTTTAATAATCATCTTTAATTCATCGATTTCATTCTGAAAAACTTGTGGTAAATAGTGTTCACGTAATTGATTTGCACCAACAATCTCACCTATTATTAATTTAAAATATAAGTTATATTAATTTATAGATTAAATTAAAATATTTAATCTATTTTACTTACTCTCAATGCAATAATCTTGTAAAAAATTTTGCAACTTATTTATTTTCTCTAATGGAATATCCGCTTCGACAAATGCTTTAACTAATGCCAAATTAATATCTTGCTTTTTCGAATTATTTATATTATCAGATAAAGTTTTGGCAAGACTTTTTTTTTTTTTATGTGATTGTGAATCAAGATGAGAATCGATTATGGACTTTCTGGTATGATTAATGACATGTTTACAAGCAATACAAAACATTTGACCATTTAATTCATAGAAATCGGTTTTGTAATTATCAGAATTTACACGTTCAAGAGCTGTAATTTTGGTTTTTCCCATCGTTAAACAAAACCAAAAATTTTAACTGTTTCTTTAAATACTAATACTAACGTTAATATAAACAATTGCAATTTAAAGACAAATATCGTTAGATACTAGAAAAATAGTTGGACAAAAATTACTACGCTATTCGTAATTGTTAGGTGGAGATTACTGCGCCATTCGTAATTGTTAGATGAACATACTGTGCCATTCGTAATATTTAAATCAAACATGTGCATATTATGTGCATTTGCTTTATTATGTTGATATTAAGCGATATTGTTATTTGCATAAATATCGCACTAGTTACATCAAAAAAGATAAATTTACCATGCATTTTATGTGTCTAAAGTGTAATTGCACAAGTCTGGACACTCTAATCTGGATTAACTATTCTAAATGTGTCGACAAAACCTTGATTTTTAAACCATTTATGCAAAGGAAGTACTTTGGATACTATA